TCAGCTGGTTCGAGGTTGTTTAATTAGCCGTTTCTCAAACATTGACAATATTCGGCCAAACATTTTTCGTTGTTGTCACGCGGCCACGCCGTTTATGATAATTGTCTGTCATATGTGAAATGTAAATAACGATATAGAATCTGAACATGAAATATGACGTGTAGGGCACTGTTTTGTATAAACAAATATCTATACAGTAAATTGAAATAAATTGATTTCTGAAATTCCCTTCAGCAATGGAGCTTTCCGTATTCCCGGTGTATTTTCCTCGTTATGGGTGCCCTCCTCTTCCCCCCTATCTGCCTGTACGCCATCGTCCGGGAGATGCCCAGCTCTCCGAATATATCACCGTTGGAGAAGTTACTTTCCCTCAACCCATTGTCAAAAGTCAAAGTTGGTCCCATATCCATCTGGACGTAAGGGACATGTTTTGTAGAGAAACATGCTTACTAAGCCGCGGGATGATGCGGTAGGGTGACCTGTTCCTTTCTGCCCCGACTTTGACCCTAGCATGCTGACGTCAGCATAACAGTGCTCATTCACAGCTGAGTCGACTGAGAGGGGCAGCCGGGAGCGAACCCAGGACCATGCGATTGCTATGACACCCCATTGTAGCAGCTATTTCAGATTACAGCTTTCTTTGCGTCCATCCTGAAAAAGGTGTCAGCTTGGCAACCTCGTTTTGACCTCGGATTTCTCATGTTATTATGACGTCTAAGACCATCGGACATGTATTTTTTCAGCGAAGTGGATATTCAGGAATTGATGAATATTCATCGTCATAAAAGATATGAAATATACGACTTCGTGTTATTTTCTACATTGTTGAAATTATTACTTCTAGGATAATGTATAAAGAGAATGAATTTGATGTAAAGGTTTGATATGCTAATATCATCTACACCTGCATATATTGCACTACATTGCACTGGCAAATAGAAATAAAATGGATAGATGACAATAACTGACCGAGAAATTCCCATTTCATTAGAATGAACAAGATATACAACACAAGTATTGGGAGTTGGTTCTAAGATTTTTGCTATTCACCCTCCTTGGAACCACCCAGCTAATAGTTGCTCGAGTTGAAACAAGCAAACATGCATTTTCTCGCTCACCTCTTCGAATGTGGATACAACTCCTCAAAGCCAAGATCAATGCATAATAATAGCTGATTATACACTCTCGTAACTCATTACCAAGCATGACTTCATATTTCCATAGACGATACACACACACACACATCAATAACGAATCTACATATTCAGTGTAACCTAATTGTGATTTTGTTCATGCTCTGTATTGAAAAATCTAATTTAGCACGGTTTCTGTTTATTCAATATGTGTTTGATTCAGACAAAGATAAAAAAAAAAAAAAAAAAATCATTAGGTCGATTACTAGATGGTGCAAGCATCAACGGTATTTACAGAGGTCTCAGGGATTTTACAGAGTTTAGGTAATTTAGTTACCATACATAAATGTTCAAAGCATGAAACTTTTTCATGTTTTAAGAAATATGTATCTATAAATGATACTTATGCTGTAAGGAGTAGGAAATGCCGCCTCCCTATCATAGATGTTGCCATTTGGATAAGCAAACAATTCCAGGATATCGCATTTGAAGAATATCCAACTACAAAGTCAACGATAACTAATATTACATGCTTTGTTCTTTATCACTTATTAGAAGAAAGCGAAAGATCAAATGGCTTACTTAGTTTTAAAAAAATATTCATTAATACACTTATTGGTTACTTATTTTCGACCAATCACACTCTTTGTTACAAACTACCTAGGGTTTTAGCATCATTCACAAAAATACTATTTACGCTATGTTTACTTCGACTTGTTGCCAGAGGTACAAAAGTGGGACCCAGAAAGTGTACTGAAATATAATTCCACAACTGTACATATAGATAAACAAAATTTCCAAGTTACCTGTCAAGGGCACACTTCGCATCTTCTATTTCTTGTTTAATATCATCACTAACATTAAACATCAAGCGCTGAGGTCTGTCAAGTTCAATTGCTGGGAGTTTCCTCTCTTTCATGGTGCTGTCCCTGAAATGTTTTAATATAAGACTGAAATATCAGATAATTTAAAATCTCTGTATTGATAGTATTAATACTCAAAGACCTAATCAATAATCATAAAAAGAGAGCAAGGAAAAAAAAAGTCACAAACTTACTTCTCATAATGACTGATAAAAAGTAATCACACAATCTGATTTATAATAGTTTTAACGGAAAAAAAAAACGCTCTCACATAACTAATTTCGATATTAATTTTTACCCAAAGACTGTAAAATGGTTTTGTTTGTATATATACAAACAAACACATGCACTTGACATTTGCAATCATATACACATAATTTCTACATAAAGAAAGTTCAAATAGATTATATTATTCATTTCTTTAAAAAACTGAAAACCAAGTTGGAACATTCACTTAGGTGTAAACACTAATAAAAATGAGAAAGGGACAGTTTTCCATTTTAAATATCATGGAATTCATTTCCTTTACATAGCAAAAGCCAAATATTAAACTTACTCTCTCTGGAAAGTTTCCAGTGTTTCTGAAAAGAAAAAGTAACATGCTTTTGAAAATGATATGAAAGAAGCTGATAGACAAACACTTCTAAATGTAAAAAAATAAAAAAATCACACAATAACTAGAATACAGAAAATGCATGCTAAATTTTTCAGCACTATATAGCAATTGTATACAAAACTTTGCACATATACCAACTAAATACAAAAAGCCAAAACATTCAATTACGTGAAGTTTTAACTAGAACAGCATGTGGATGAAAATCATTTGCAGAGAAACCTCACTTATATGAACCCATTGCTGAAGAATATAGTTAATATACTATTAATGACTAAACTTTACTATACAAAATAAAAATCTGAAAACTGAACCTAGACTCATCTTTCAGTGATCAATATAATTTCTAGGATAAAACCTCCTGTAAGCCTTATAATCTGTAATGAATTTCTCTTTACAAAAACAACAGACAAAGTAAACTTTTTATTAGTGAGGCTTCACTTTATATTCTATAAAGCCATATTCTTAAAATAATAATATACTGTAATAAATGGAAATAAAAAATAAACTTGAATTAAAACATGCTTTACATGACAACACACTTTTCCCTACAACAAAAATAAGAGTTATCTTACATGAAGTTCATTATATGATCCATTAAGTTGGCAATTGGTGGACCTTCTGCTGGTGTATGTTCATATGTTTAGTCCTACTGCTCCTTTCTTCCCAATGATAACTGGAGACAAATTTCATAAAAGTAGGACCATTAGGAAATATAAAATACACTGCATTTCACTTGTACCTCTGGTTTATGAATAACTAAGTGACACTCATCCTTGCATTACTGGACCATTTATCTAATGTAGCATAATCCCACATTGGCTAAGGATATTATGATAGATTTCTAATTCTCTAAATATCAGACTTGTAATCATCTTTTTTCAAACTCTTATTTTCTCATAAATCTTATATTTCAAACATGAAACAAAGGGATAAGCTTGAAGCTGCTATGTCTATAGAGGCCCTTTGCAATAAATGATAACTATGAACCCTGAAACAACTTAAAAGCACTTGAACTTGCCTATACCTTAACCAATTTAACTGTGCATTTCAGCATCTAAAAAAATCCAAAGCTAAGAAATTTTATCTTGGCTCTATTACAACTTCTACCTTAAGCAAAAAATATAAGAAAAAAAATTACCTGAATAGTCTTATCATACCACCTGTTGCCAGCATAACCCTGTGAGCCATTGCCAATGAACACAGAGTAATGCTGCATCAGTCATTTCATTCCCAGTTGGGTTGACAATAGGTCCATCTAAAGCTACTAGGAAGATAGATCTCTGAATTTTCCTTCAATAGATGCTTTGTTCAGTTTATCTGCAAAGGAATAAACAACTACCTGCTATAACTTTGTAGCTATTTGCTTTCAATATATACAAATGCTGGTCTTCTGAGAGTAATACAAATTGCCCTTTCAAGGATAGACTCATTGCAGGGTGCCACAGATCATTACTTACCCTTCCTAAGTTTCTTATAAGCCTTCCCCCATACATTTCGATTCTGTGTACTGAGGATACCCACTGGACTGGTTGGATGGGTAGAGCGTTCAACCACATTTCGTAACTGATGCAACACTTGATTTATAGTCAGGGGTTTTCCTTCCTTTCCATAAACATCTATCTTGAAGAACTAAAGACAGCAAAGCAATTAGCTTTAATATATAAATTCTATGCTTCAGTTAATATAGCAAGAAAGTTATAACTTCAATAACAAACAATTCCTGCAATATACAGTAAAATAATCAATGTTTGGAAGACTACTGTATTAACCTAACACAATCTATAAACAAAGCTATTACACAAACATAAAATGCTACTTACATGATTGTTATGTACCACCACAATATGTTTAGGAGGATTTTCAGACTGCCCATGATATACAATGGAATCCCGTGTAACTCCTGGGATACGGCATGTTCCCAACATCTTGAAATACTGGGACATGTCTAAGAGGTCTTTGCCCATGTGATCAATGGGCACAGTTTTACTAAAAGATAAAGAATACAACTAAGTTTCCAATCTTTGCCAAAAAAAAATTATATCAGCAATAAAATTCCAACAACCATATTTTCCTTAAATAACTGTAAAAAGTATACATCATAAACAGATAAAAAATTAACCATCCTGAAGCAAGCCTAGGAAAAATAATCAAATTTTCAACACATGTGAAAAAATACAGTACTTATGCACAAACTTGTGACCTACTCATCCAACATTTTCTTGTAATCAAGAGCTCCAACAATAACTTTGGCAGCATAGCTTAGCTGGTCATCCAGTGTTCTGAATTCTTGTAATGGGAAAACCAGGCCTGGAGAGGACCATACCACAACAGGCCAGCGGTAGTCTAAATAAGCAGCGTTGATCCACCATTCACTAAGCTGTGATGAAAATTTATTCATATAGAAGCTGTAAAAAAAACAGGTTATAAAAGAATTGTACATTCAATATTTTGGACTAATTTCATCAAGTTCAACTAACCCAGTTGTCAGATTTCTTTGCCCTTTGCTGTAATTTTTCTTGTAATTGTTGTCCAATACCTCCAGGAGCAGCAAACTTTTTAACAATTTCCTCAGTTAACTGGAATTCTTCCTCAGTTACTAATGGTTTAACTGTTCTGCAAATGTTTAAAGATTTAAAACATATTGCTAAGCATTCACTAGAATACAGCTTTTCAATCTAAAAGAGTTATATACTATATGCATAAGAGACTAATTATCTAAAAAATATTTTTTTCTTTATCAAATTTGATAGACTATACTATGTTGTTTTAACCAAAACAAGTGTCTTACTCCATTTTGCTTGAAATCTAGTTGTTATGAACAACCTACTTTTAAACACTAACAAGCCTAGACTTTAATTCACATAAGTAAAAAATATATCCAAAAAAAAAAATATTTTGAAAGGAGCTTTTAGAATTCTCAATGCAGAACACTCTTCTTATTAAATCTTAACAGCTTTCTCTCATTCATCTTTTTTTCTATGAATTCTGTATTTTCACACATTTTATACTTTGACTATGGTACAGGAGATCAACATACACCATAATTTAAAGGTAATGTACATTCCCATTCTATGTGGAGTCATTAATTGCACGTAAGTAAAAAAAAAATTGAGTGCACTCACTTATTGTGTCTACATCAAGTATTTAATAATATCTTACTGCTATTAAATATTTCCAAGTCACACAAAATATAAATAGTGCAGCATCAAGAACTACACTGAACAAACTATTTGATATTTCAACTAAAAAAGGACTGCACTGGCTAGACAGAAATAAAAAGGGTTCAGAAGGTGGGTCTTGGGCAAAGCCCCTGGGTTTGGGAGGATTTAAGTTCATATGGCATTCTCTTTGTGCATTTACGAAGTGAATAATAAATGCCAGTTGGGGACTTAGCCCATCGCAAGTCCAGTTATGTTGAAAACTTTTACCTATTCTTTTTACATTTAATTTACTAACTTCTTTTCATACTCTCACCAGTCATTAATATCAATACATGAGGCATGACACATGAAACACATTATCAAACTTTTCCAGAAGATCTAAACAACATCCTAATGCCAATCCTAAAAATATGAGTAAATCATAGACATAGGGGCAGAACATACCTTCTTCCTGAAATACACAAGCATTAATTTTACATATACACTGCAATTACAGTGCAATCAAGTAATTCAGTTTAAAAGCCAATTTTAAGGAAAGGTCTTACTTGAGATACTTATTCAGGGTCTCTTCAAGGGGAGGCACAGGAAGGCGTGGCAGGGACCCCTGATGATCATGAAGAGATCTTGATGGAGCAACCATTGTGTAACTGGATGCACACGACCGTATGTATCCACTCCAACCACTCCTCAGCCCCTGACAAAGTATAATCAACTCTAAAGCTATTACTGATAATGAGCCTAATGACAAAGTATCATTAATTTAGACTAGTGCAGTAATGTGTCTACTTGCACTTATTATTAGTTAACATTTAGGAATGTTTCATATAGCAGTTGCTAAAACTATGTTTCAATACAGGGGTCTTTCCTTATTCATGGTAATGTAAGCCATTGCATAACCCATTTCTCTTATCATAAAAAAAATGCACTGTAATGTCATTTTAAAGGTGTTAATTCTCTCAACAGTTCACAAACAAAATTTCTACTGCCTCAGTCATGAATGAGAATGAATAATTCCCCAAACAGAAAATTATCCTTTCAATATCACACTTTTCTGAAAGGACTGATTCTGATATAGATAGTATACCATGTAATGTGATACCCAACATTCTCATTCATAAATCTTCATTATTCAAAATGAATTCTGCATATATTGTGGCTTAAACTCCCTTGGCTAGGTTTAACTTATCTTTTATCATTATCTGTGCACCCTTGACTTGAGAATATTATCTTTGAAGTTCATGAATTTGGTCTTTTGACAAAACTCGACTGGATTCTATTTAATATCAATATTCAAGGGAACTTTAAGGTTAATCTAAGGATTCTCTATTGAGCATTAATACCTACATTATTAATTGGTGTCAAAATATTCACCCTTCACAAAACTGAATTACGAATGCTACAAATGCTCCACTTGATATAACTTAGTCCAAAACGAAATCCATCCAACTAAAATAATAAAATTGCAATATATTTGCCATGTAACCCATTTTGCTATATAATCCACCCACTACCTATGGTAAATAAAAACATAACACCACAGAACTTGGAGAATAAACATATACCACACACCTGCCGAAGGAGAAGTGATGCTGATAATGCCATGATGTCAGCCTCACAGAGATCTATCAGCTGGAATTACGGTATCTGCAGTTATCAGCTGGGATGTACTCTGGACATCAGCTGACGCATAACAACACCCGCCTTTCGGCCACTTCCCTGGCACACACGCAGGTGGCGGTTTCTGGCAACGAGACGGATCCAAACAGAGGTAGTTTGATCGTTTTAAAAGAAATTTATGGTTGTTTGTTCCTTGGTACTTTCATGACACGAAAATACTCTTTAAAGTTAATATATGCATTGCACCCTTGTACAGTGTATTTATGCATACGTTTTCGTAGAAAATAAATGAATAGATAAATTAATCTACACATACATAAACAAATATATATATGCATAAAACATATATGTATATATACATGTATATATATAAATACACACACATACACACACACACACGCATACAGACACACATATATACACATACATACATATAGATATACTCTGTGATAGATCTCATTACACAGAATCGTTTAAGGCGATATCGCTACATCGACACAGTATCGCCAATGCTTTATTGGTCAGCTCGGTCGCTCGATCCTCTCTTGGTCAGCTCGGTCGTCGTCCCTCTTTTGGTCAACTCGGTCGGTCGTCCCTCTTTTGGTCAGCTCGGTCGGTCGTCCCTCTTTTGGTCAGCTCGGTCGGTCGTCCCTCTTTTGGTCAGCTCGGTCGGTCGTCCCTCTTTTGGTCAGCTCGGTCGGTCGTCCCTCTTTCGGTCAGCTCGGTCGGTCGTCCCTCTTTTGATCAGCTCGGTCGGTCGTCCCTCTCTTGGTCAGCTCGGTCGGTCGTCCCTCTTTTGATCAGCTCGGTCGGTCGTCCCTTTTGGTCAGCTCGGTCGGTCGTCCCTCTTTTGGTCAGCTCGGTCGGTCGTCCCTCTTTTGTCAGCTCGGTCGGTCGTCCCTCTTTTGGTCAGCTCGGTCGGTCGTCCCTCTTTTGATCAGCTCGGTCGGTCGTCCCTCTTTTGGTCAGCTCGGTCGGTCGTCCCTCTTTTGGTCAGCTCGGTCGGTCGTCCCTCTCTTGGTCAGCTCGGTCGGTCGTCCCTCTTTTGGTCAGCTCGGTCGGTCGTCCCTCTCTTGGTCAGCTCGGTCGGTCGTCCCTCTTTTGGTCAGCTCGGTCGCTCGTCCCTCTCTTGGTCAGCTCGGTCGCTCGACCCTCTCTTGGTCAGCTCGGTCGGTCGTCCCTCTTTTGGTCAGCTCGGTCGCTCGTCCCTCTTTTGGTCAGCACGGTCGGTCGTCCCTCTTTTGGTCAGCTCGGTCGGTCGTCCCTCTTTTGATCAGCTCGGTCGGTCGTCCCTCTTTGGTCAGCTCGGTCGGTCGTCCCCCTTTGGGCAGCTCGGTCGGTCGTCCCTCTTTTTGGTCAGCTCGGTCGGTCGTCCCTCTCTTGGTCAGCTCGGTCGCTCGACCCTCTTTTGGTCAGCTCGGTCGGTCGTCCCTCTTTTGGTCAGCTCGGTCGGTCGTCCCCTTTTGGTCAGCTCGGTCGGTCGTCCCTCTCTTGGTCAGCTCGGTCGCTCGTCCTCTTTTGGTCAGCTCGGTCACTGGACCCTCTTTTGGTCAGCTCGGTCGCTCGACCCTCTTTTGGTCAGCTCGGTCGCTCGACCCTCTTTTGGTCAGCTCGGTCGCTCGACCCTCTTTTGGTCAGCTCGGTCGGTCGTCCCTCTTGGTCAGCTCGGTCGGTCGTCCCTCTTTTGATCAGCTCGGTCGTCGTCCCTCTTTTGGTCAGCTCGGTCGCTCGTCCCTCTTTTGGTCAGCTCGGTCGCTCGACCCTCTTTTGGTCAGCTCGGTCGCTCGACCCTTTTGGTCAGCTCGGTCGCTCGACCCTCTTTTGGTCAGCTTCGTCCCTCTTGGTCAGCTAGTCGCTCGTCTCTTTTGATCAGCTCGGTCGGTCGTCCCTCTTTTGATCAGCTCGGTCGGTCGTCCCTCTTTTGGTCAGCTCGTGTCGTCGTCCCTTTTTAGTCAGCTCGGTCGGTCGTCCCTCTTTTGTCAGCTCGGTCGCTCGTCCCTCTTTTGGTCAGCTCGGTCGTCGTCCCTCTTTTGGTCAGCTCGGTCGGTCGTCCCTCTTTTGATCAGCTCGGTCGGTCGTCCCTCTTTTGGTCAGCTCGGTCGGTCGTCCTCTCTTGGTCAGCTCGGTCGGTCGTCCCTCTTTTGGTCAGCTCGGTCGGTCCCCTCTCTCTGGTCAGCTCGGTCGCTTGTCCCTCTTTTGGTCAGCTCGGTCACTGGACCCTCTTTTGGTCAGCTCGGTCGCTCGACCCTCTTTTGGTCAGCTCGGTCGCTCGACCCTCTTTTGGTCAGCTCGGTCACTGACCCTTTTGGTCAGCTCGGTCGCTCGACCCTCTTTGGTCAGCTCGGTCGCTCGACCCTCTTTGGTCAGCTCGGTCGCTCGACCCTCTTTTGATCAGCTCGGTCGCTCGACCCTCTTTTGGTCAGCTCGGTCGCTCGTCCCTCTTTTGGTCAGCTCGGTCGCTCGACCCTCTTTGGTCAGCTCGGTCGTTCGTCCCTCTCTTGGTCAGCTCGGTCGGTCGTCCCTCTCTTGGTCAGCTCGGTCGGTCGTCCCTCTCTTGGTCAGCTCGGTCGGTCGTCCCTCTTGGTCAGCTCGTTCGCTCGTCCCTCTTTTGGTCAGCTCGGTCGGTCGTCCCTCTTGGTCAACTCGGTCGCCGTCCCTCTCTTGGTCAGCTCGTTCGCTCGTCCTCTTTTGGTCACTCGGTCGCCTCGTCCCTTTTTGGTCAGCTCGGTCGGTCGTCCCTCTTTTGGTCAGCTCGGTCGGTCGTCCCTCTTTTGGTCAGCTCGGTCGGTCGTCCCTCTTTTCAGCTCGGTCGTTCGTCCCTCTCTTGGTCAGCTCGGTCGGTCGTCCCTCTTTGGTCAGCTCAGTCGCTCGTCCCTCTCTTGGTCAGCTCGTTTCTCGTCCCTCTTTTCAGCTCGGTCGTCGTCCCTCTCTTGGTCAGCTCGGTCGCTCGACCCTCTCTTGGTCAGCTCGGTCGGTCGTCCCTCTTTTGGTCAGCTCGGTCGTCCTCTTTTGGTCAGCTCGGTCGGTCGTCCCTCTCTTGGTCAACTCGGTCGGTCGTCCCTCTCTTGGTCAACTCGGTCGGTCGTCCCTCTTTTGGTCAGCTCGGTCGGTCGTCCCTCTTTTGGTCAGCTCGGTCGCTCGTCCCTCTTTGGTCAGCTCGGTCGGTCGTCCTCTTTTGGTCAGCTCGGTCGTCGTCCTTCTTTTGGTCAGCTCGGTCGGTCGTCCCTCTTTTGGTCAGCTCGGTCGGTCGTCCCTCTTTTGGTCAGCTCGGTCACTGGACCCTCTTTTGGTCAGCTCGGTCGCTCGACCCTCTTTTGGTCAGCTCGGTCGCTCGACCCTCTTTTGGTCAGCTCGGTCGGTCGTCCCTCTCTTGGTCAGCTCGGTCGGTCGTCCTCTTTTGGTCAGCTCGGTCGCTCGTCCCTCTTTTGGTCAGCTCGGTCGCTCGTCCCTCTTTTGGTCAGCTCGGTCACTGGACCCTCTTTTGGTCAGCTCAGTCGCTCGACCCTCTTTTGGTCAGCTCGGTCGCTCGACCCTCTTTTGATCAGCTCGGTCGCTCGACCCTCTTTTGGTCAGCTCGGTCGCTCGTCCCTCTCTTGGTCAGCTCGGTCGTCGACCCTCTTTTGGTCAGCTCGGTCGTTCGTCCCTCTTTGGTCAGCTCGGTCGGTCGTCCCTCTCTTGGTCAGCTCGGTCGGTCGTCCCTCTCTTGGTCAGCTCGGTCGTCGTCCCTCTTTTGGTCAGCTCGGTCGTCGTCCTTCTTTTGGTCAGCTCGGTCGGTCGTCCCTCTTTGGTCAGCTCGGTCGGTCGTCCCTCTTTTGGTCAGCTCGGTCACTGGACCCTCTTTTGGTCAGCTCGGTCGCTCGACCCTCTTTTGGTCAGCTCGGTCGCTCGACCCTCTTTTGGTCAGCTCGGTCGGTCGTCCCTCTCTTGGTCAGCTCGGTCGGTCGTCCCTCTTTTGGTCAGCTCGGTCGCTCGTCCCTCTTTGGTCAGCTCGGTCGCTCGTCCTCTTTTGGTCAGCTCGGTCACTCGACCCTCTTTTGGTCAGCTCGGTCGCTCGACCCTCTTTTGGTCAGCTCGGTCGCTCGACCCTCTTTTGATCAGCTCGGTCGCTCGACCCTCTTTTGGTCAGCTCGGTCGCTCGTCCCTCTCTTGGTCAGCTCGGTCGCTCGACCCTCTTTTGGTCAGCTCGGTCGTTCGTCCCTCTCTTGGTCAGCTCGGTCGTCGTCCCTCTTTGGTCAGCTCGGTCGGTCGTCCCTCTCTTGGTCAGCTCGGTCGGTCGTCCCTCTTTTGGTCAGCTCGTTCGCTCGTCCTCTTTTGGTCAGCTCGGTCGGTCGTCCCTCTCTTGGTCAACTCGGTCGGTCGTCCCTCTCTTGGTCAGCTCGGTCGCTCGTCCCTCTTTTGGTCAGCTCGGTCGCTCGACCCTCTTTTGGTCAGCTCGGTCTCGTCCCTCTCAAGGAGCTCGGTCGGTCGTCCCTCTTTTGGTCAGCTCGGTCGGTCGTCCCTCTTCTTGGTCAGCTCGGTCGCTCGTCCCTCTTTTGGTCAGCTCGGTCACTGGACCCTCTTTTGGTCAGCTCGGTCGCTCGACCCTCTTTGGTCAGCTCGGTCGCTCGACCCTCTTTTTGGTCAGCTCGGTCTGGGCCTCTTTGGTCAGCTCGGTCGCTCGACCTCTTTTGGTCAGCTCGGTCGCTCGACCCTCTTTTGGGTCAGCTCGGTCGCTCGCCCTCTTTTGTCAGCTCGGTCGCTCGCCCTCTTTTGGTCAGCTCGGTCGCTCGTCCCTCTTTTGGTCAGCTCGGTCGCTCGACCCTCTTTTGGTCAGCTCGGTCGTCGTCCTCTCTTGGTCAGCTCGGTCGGTCGTCCTCTTTTGGTCAGCTCGGTCGGTCGTCCCTCTCTTTGGTCAGCTCGGTCGTCGTCCCTCTCTTGGTCAGCTCGTCGCTCGTCCCTCTCTTGGTCAGCTCGGTCGGTCGTCCCTCTCTTTGGTCAAGCTCGGTCGCGTCCCTCTCTTGGTCAGCTCGGTCGTCGTCCCTCTTTTGGTCAGCTCGGTCGTCCTCTTTTGGTCAGCTCGGTCGGTCGTCCCTCTTGGTCAACTCGGTCGGTCGTCCCTCTTTTGGTCAGC